CCGCACTCCAGGACCCAACCACAAGCCTGACAACAAAGCCCTGTCCCCTGCTGGGCTTCACACCTACCAGCAGCAGTTGGGATGCTTGCTCTTTGCATCTGTTACCTGCAGGCCCGACCTTTCCTACATCGCAAGCCAGTTGGCTCAGTACTCTCGCAAACCAACGGCTGAGAATCTACTAGAACTTCAGCGGGCGCTCCAGTTCTTCATCTCCACGCCCAGCATCGGCCTCTGCTACTCCACCATCCCAACCTCATCCTTCAACCTCATCGGCTACGTGGACGCCGATCACGCCGCTGACCCTGACAATCGACGGTCCAGGACAGGCTTCCTTTTCCGTCTCGAGCCCAGCGGCCCCATCTCCTGGAATTCACAGAAACAGGAGCTGGTTGCCCTGTCATTAGCGGAGGCTGAATTCATCGCAGCAACAGCAGCCGTTCGCGAAGGCCTCTACCTTCAGGAGCTGCTGCAGGAGGCGAAAATTCCAGCCTCGACGAATTTTCGCCTGCACTGCGACAACCAGAGCGCGATCAGGATCGCAAACAAGCCGGGATTCGTCAATTGGACCAAACACATCGCGCTGCGGTACTTCTTCGTCAAGGACGAAGTTGACAAAGGCAAGGTTGACCTAACCTACTGCCCGACGGGTGACATGGCAGCAGACTTCCTCACGAAGAAGCTGTCACGTCAACAGTACCAGCACTGCTCCGAACTCAGCGGGGTAGTCAAGCGGGTCAAGACTCGCTACGGCCAGGACTGAAGGGGGGTGTTACGAATAGTGATTGTTGAAACACTATTGTACACTCCTCACCGCAGCAATCGAAGCACGCACTACCGAGAATGAAGACAGACAGGCGAGACGAAGAGTCACACGGTTACGAAAGGATCTGGATCGTCGGGCAGACAGCATCAGGCAGCAGCAGTGGCGAGGATTCTGTCCGAACAGTTTCGTAACTGTCTGGAGTCGCACGGTTGGATTTCGCTGCAATAAGGGAATGTACCCCTTAGAGTACATGGCTAGCTAGGTCGATTGGTATCCCCTTGTAATCTTATTTATATTCCTTGTACTGCATGTTTTTATTATCTCAAGCATTTACATTCACTCTGCTATTGAGGTCAAAGGCCCACCACCACTAGAATAGGACCGTGCGAACCTTCCTGAGGTGATCCTGAGGTTGATCAACTTCTGATCGCAACAGTTTTGACCCTAGGCTTGAGAGATCGCTAGTGACTAGCCAAGCCATAAAAAAGTCAACACAACTGCACCATCTTCCCGGTGGTTAGGACCCTGTCCACGACTCCCATCATAGTCCTATGCGTGCAGCGTGCCTATATCAGTTTGCGCACGACATACTCATTACCGTAGTTTGTTTATGCACCATGTTCCCCCTTTGCCTTTCGCTGGCACCTGTACATTTTCAACAGCACCCAGGTCCTCACATCACAAGCTTACAGGTAATCGATGCCCCCTCACCTTGTCAGCAGCACCACATCACACAGCATGGCAATAACACATCACATGGCATGACAACAACAACTTACAGGGCATGCTGCAGTGTGGAAACGGATATCTACAGAACACTTAGCTTGGGCGGTACGGGCAGAAAGTACTCTGAAATGTTAATTAAACCCCGAGAACCATTAGGAAACCAGGCTTGCCGATTATAGAAACCGTTGAAAGAGTTGTGGATTGGAATGGAAGGCCCAGACCGATTACAACGCTTGCTGATAACAGGTACAATCCGATTTATGATACAAAGGCGTTGCACACAGCTCGTGTAGAGCTGGTTCTCTTACTAACACTTCCAAATCATGCCAGTGATCAATCTGTTTGCTCCACAAGGCCTGATATCAAACAAGGCTGCATACATAACAGGCTCATACAGTGTACAGGGCATCCACCTAAATTGGGCCTGGTATTCTATGTAACACTGCACAGAAAACTGCACAGAGTTGAACCGCTTGGACAAATCAAGACTGGTTTCACGGGTGCGCAGATTGCCGAGCAGTCCGTACTAATAGCTGAAGGCCAGAAGGCCTTACGAATCGCTGTGCGCCGCGCAGCCATTGCATGAGAGGTCGATCACCGCGTGGCCGCTGCGCGTGAGGGGGAGGGAGGAAGGGGGGACGGGGAAGAAGGAGAGACGGTGATGCGGGGAGCAGAGAGAAGGGATTGAGACGTCTAGAACGAATGTGCTGCCCGCGCAGCCGTTGCATGAGAGGTCGAACACCGCGTAGCCAGTGCGCGTGGGGGGGAGGAAGGGGGGACGGGGAAGAAGGGGAGACGGTGATGCGGGGAGGGGAGAGAAGAGATTGAGACGTCTGGGACGAAGGTGCCCGCGCAGCCGTTGCATGAGAGGTCGATCACCGCATGGCCGCTGTGCGTGGGGGTAGTGGGGGGGCGGAGGAAGCGCGAGAAGAGTTTTGAGGCGCCTAAAAAATCCGCGAGGGACGACTTTTGAGGCTCCTCAAAAGTCGTCATGAGTGGTCGATCACCGCATGGCCGCTGTGCGCGGGGGGGATGTGGGGGGGCGGAGGAAGCGAGAGAAGAGGAGAAGGGGATGGGGGGAACGGGGAGAAATATTTGAGCTCTCGAGAAGAATTTCCGCGGAGCCGTTGCAAGAAAGGATTATCACCGCGTGGCGCTACGCGTGGGGGGAGGGAGTGGGGGTTGGAGCCGGGTGATTGAGGGTAGTACCGGAGAGGTTGAGCAGACGAAGGGGGGAAGGGGGCATAGGGAGGGAAGTAGGCAGGCAAGAAGAACCACCTTGATCCCGATATGTTTTGACCTCGTGTACATTGTTTCAAGGTGAAATGCACGTTCGACTCGCATGCCATTTCGACTCGGAAGATTCGGAAATTTTGCAACCATTTGCATGGGGTTCGAATCGAATGGGTTTCGCACGTACGCGTAGATGTGTCCTTTGGTCTTCGCCCACGTGGTCTTGCCGAAACTCCACGTGATGTAGTTGTTGCCCTTGGGGTTCAGCGCCACCTCGCCGCCGTCTGACGTGGTGCGAGTAAACCTGTGCACGAACGAAACAGGGTAACCGGATACCAAAGAGTTACTAGCGAACATAACCCTCCAACCAGATGCGTCGACGGCACTGTGGCTACGGCCATGCTTACGTCAATATTCCATGGCGATACCCGTTGTCAGTCGAAACTGCCTCTCACTCGAAGGTGCAACTCGCGTTCAGTCTTGGAAGTACTCACTCAATGGTCTCGAGGGTTACTCACTCAATGTGCCAGCGGTACTCACTCGATGGTGGTACCCGCAGGGTTTTTGGTAATCTTCAGTCCCGTCGGCGCCCACCCAGTCGCGTCGCTCCTGCTGCTGTGGCCGGCGAGCGTCAGCAGCTTGGGCGCGCCGGCGCGCATGCTCTCCGCGATGATCGCATCGCCGTTCATCTTGCCGTTGCTCGAAAAACCCACGCCGAACCACCCCTTGCCCGTTTCGATGCCCTTGCTCATGTGGAGCGCGAATTTGACCGTGTTGCTGTCGACCACCCTCCAATGCAGATGCAAGCTGCGGGGAGTGGAAGGGGGAGAGTCGGGGATGGTGCTGGCTGGTGAGGATGTCGAACGGGGGCTTTTATGGCGAAACAAGTTGTTGCGGAGGGTTCAACCCTCACAAGTTGTGGGAGTGGGTGGGCGTGGTGGAGGGGGACGAGTGGAAGGAAGCACTCTTTCAAAGAGGTGCCTGTCTCACTGTACGGACGACGTGCTTTCAGAATAATGGTTACAACTCACCGCTCGACGGTTACCCGAGTTCAGAATGGACACATTATCGACCATGCTGGACCACCCGCATTTTTCGCAGAATCTGCCCGGGCACGAGCGGCCTTTGAGTCGACTCAAAAGTCAATGGGAAAGGCACTTACTTGGGATAGACGAGAAAGGCCACTCACTCGGGGTACATGACGAACGATGACGTGTAATGGCCCAAGCTGGACCACCCGCACTTGCGCAGTATCTGGCCCACCAGAGTCTTTCTTCCGAGTCAACAAAAGTCAACGGGAAAGGCCACTCACTCGGGGTACAAGACGAACGATGACGTGTAGTCGCCCAAGCTGGACCACCCACACTTTCGCAGTATCTGCCCAGGCATGAGCGGCGGTTTCACCACCTTGCCGGCGCTCGCGCCGTGAGAGGCGGCAAGGACAAGGAGCATCACAAAGAGGACGCGAGAGAGAGCGCGTGATGCGCTTCGAGGAGCCATAGCAGCGCGAGTGGGACCGGGATCGGGAGGAAGAGCGCGCGGAGAGAGCACTGAGCCCTCCTGACAGTGAGGCAAAGGCGTTAAACTTTTTGTACGGCTGGAGAAAGAAATTCTAGCGGTCCGTCGCGAGTAGAATCAAAACACACAAAAGCGGGGACGGATGTGTGATGGATGTGTGACGGATGTGTGCGGAATGGAGACGATTTGAACCACAGCAAGCGAGTATGACCAGAAGCGTAGGGAGTGCGTGGTGGTTGTAGAAATTTGTTATGACAGAAAGGCGCATCGGGCTTGACATCCACCAACAGCAGCGGGCTCGGGTGGATATGCATGGCGCGCCGGCGTGGATAGCCGGCGTATCATAAGCCGTCTAACGGCGACTTCATGTTCAGCTATCAAGCTACTCGTAAGACTAACACGTGCGGGTGCCAGCTGTAACTTTCGTGCTCGTGTGGTGTGTGTGTGGAGTGCACGATGTGGTGTTGCTGAAAGGAAAAAGGTGAGGATGACTAGGAAGGCTGAAATATCGGGATGAGAAATGCCGAGAATGGAATGTCGTGAAATTCGCGATTCGGGAATGTTTCTGGAGTCGCGATATTGAGCACGAGTTTTTGATGCGATTGGTTGGTTAGCAAGATTTCCGTGAAGTGTGGGGCGTGTGGGGATTGTCTCCCTAGATCACGCAACGGTTCTTGTTTGCACCGGTGACAGAGGCGGGTACACTATTTTTGTTATTATAAAATGCGGAGTGCAATTATACATGGATAAGGATCAGGATTCAGGACTTAGAAGCAAGAATTGATGACAAAATTGCAGCCATGCTCTGGGCTTCCTCTGAGCCTCCCTTTCCCTTTTCAGACCCCTTCCCGTTCGCACTTTCGCCTTCACCACCACCGCTTAGCAAAGCAGCATCCAAGCTCAGTTTCCTCTGGGCAATGTTCAAAATGCCCTCATCAACTGTGGCACGTGTCACGAGCCTGGTGTTGTGGGGGATAGGGTGGAAGGAAACAAACTTTGAGAACTTTTAACATACACAGCCTGCTCAAACTGGGCAAAAATGGCTGAGAAACATAAGCAATAATCACAAATTACTGTACCACTCACAGTACACAGCTGAAATTGACAACACAAGGGTCACACCAACTTTCAGCGTACTGGTTACAACTCACCGCACGACGGTTACAACTCACCGCACGACAGTTACAGGCCGAGTCTGCCCGATTCGGTGGCACCTGTCCTCCGCCTGCCGGTCCATCTGGGGGTTAAAATCCACGTCGTGCAGAATCACCGTGTCTGCCCCGGTCAGGTTCAAACCTTGCCCGCCTGCCCGTGTCGAAAGCAGCATCGCAAACACCGAGGGGTCCCGGTTGAACTCGTCCACCAGGGCTTGCCTTTGTGCCACCTGCGTGCTGATTGTGGGAGGGGGAGATGGAGGACAGAAATCGAGAGGAATGGATTCAGGCTGTGCGGTAGTGGCACAAAGGGGTGAGCACTGATGAACACTGAGGGGTCCCGATTGAACTCGTCCACCAGAGCCTGCCTCTGCACCACCTGCGTGCTGGGTTTCAGCAAAAGGATACGGCATAAGAGGGGTTGAGATGAGCGTGTCACAGTGGAAAGCATGCAGCATGGCAAACACCGAGGGGTCCCGGTTGAACTCGCCCACCAGAGCCTGCCTCTGTGCCACCTGCGTGCTGCGTGGGTGGGAAACAAGATTCAACAAGGGGTGGTAACAGTGTGTCACAGTGAAAAGTAGAACGATGAGCACCGAAAGATTCCCGGTTGAACTCGCCCACCAGGGCCTGCCTCTGTGCCACCTGCGTGCTCCTGCACGGTGGGGGGGGAGCGGGTAGGCAGGACGAATGACGGATGATGTGCTAGTGGCATGAAGGGATGAACAAAGACTGACTAAAACGCATCGCCCCCCATCGGACCTCGTCCATCAGCGTGTTAGTCCCTGCCCTGTTTTTTTGAGAATTCTTGTTTTTGAGGTTTTTTTTTTTTTGAGAATTCTCAAAAAACAAGCATCGCTCCCCATCGGACCTCGTCCACCAGCGTGTTAGTCCCTGCCACGAACGGTGGGGGGGGAGCAGGTAGGCGGGACGAACGCCAAATGATGTGCTAGTGGCGTGCATGAAGGGATGAACGAAGACTGACTAACACGCATCGCTCCCCATCGGACCTCGTCCACCAGCGTGTTAGTCCCTGCCCTGCCTTTGCACCTGCCGTGTGCTGATATAGAGTAAGCGGCAGGAGGAGAGGAGAGAGAGACCGATGGTGGGCCCAGTTTTGAGACGTCTTAAAACACGTCTCACATTTTGAGACGTCTCAAAACACGTCTCACATTTTGAGACGTCTCAAAACACGTCTCAAAACACGTCTCAAATTTTGAGACGTCTCAAAAGCGGCAGGAGGAGAGGAGAGATCGATGGTGGGCCCAGCAAGTTTTGTCCCTCGCCCACCATCGCCTGCCCCGCCTCTGCACCACCTGCGTGCTGATTTAGAGTAAGTGCGTTGACTTTTAAGTCGACTTAAAACTCAACTAAGTGCAAGCAGCTGTCAAGTGGCAACGTCCGCACCCCACCCAACCACGCCTCCCTCCATTAGTTTCACGATTCACCTCCCGTCCAGTCTAAGGAAGGCCAGTCTCAGCAGCCCCAGCATATGCTGAAGGATGTCAAGCACAGCCGTCAAGTGGTAACCACCCCATCGCACCCCATCCCACCCCACCCCACTCCATCCCATCGCGCCGCACGCCACCGCACCCCACTCATTCCCAGGATTTCACGGCTCACCTGCCATCCAGTCTAAGGAAGGTCAGGCCCAGAAGCCCCATCACGTGTTGCAGAATGTCAAGCACAGCCGTCCATTGCCACTCTGTGCGTCCGTCCCCGATACCTTTTGCAAGTGAATGACCTTCCTTCACGTCCTCCCTCCCTATCCCCTCACCTGCCATCCAGTCTCAAAAAGGTCAATCCGAGCAGCCCCATCACGTGTTGCAGAATATCAAGCACAGCCGTCCATTGGCTGAAGAGCAGCACACGGTGACCGTCGGATTTCAGCTTGGGAAGGAGTGTTGAGAGGGCCTGTGATGGGGGATGGGGCAGGGGAGAGGGAAAGTTGAAGGAGGAGGATTGGATTAGGGGGAGGATGATACGAGCAGGGAAGTCCGACCACTGGCTGACGAGAGGGCTTGTGATGGGGGATGGGGCGAGGGAGAGGGAAACATCGAGGGGGATTGGCTGAGGAGGAAGTCGCCGTAGCCCCGCAGCTCCTCCTCCTCCTCCTCCACGCGCCTCCCTTCCACGCAACAGCCCCCTTGCTTCCATGCATGCTCCACCCATACCCCTCAACAGCCCACGTCCCCCATCGTTCCCTGTCCTAGCCCGTCCCCAGCCGCACCTGGCACTTGCAGGAGTGGAAGAACTGATCGCGCGAGAGCAGGAAGCGGGAGAGCGCGTCGCACCTCCTCCATGCAACAACCCCCTTTCTTCAATACAGCATCTACTTTCCCAGCCCCGCGCACCTCCCCGGTTGGTTGTTCCCTACCCTAGCATCACCCTCAAGACTCAAGCAACCCACCTGGCACTTGCAGGAGTGGAAGAACTGATCACGTGAGAGCAGGAAGCGGGAGAGCGCGTCGCTGTGGGCGGCACACAGCTGGTTGAGCGTGAAGTCGCTGTAGCCCCTCAGCTCCTCGACCACGCGCTGCCGCGTGCACTCCCCCCCAAACACGCCCCTCCCGTGCAGCACAGCCGCCATCTCGTCCACTGCTGCGTCGGAGAACAGGCGGCGCACCAAGAGAGGGTGGTTGGCGAGCTGTGTGGGGCGAAAAGGGGGAGAGGGCGTGGATGGATGGTTGGCTCCTCCTCCACGTGCTGCTGCTTGCACTCCCCCCCAAACACACCACTTTTAAAAGCATTGACGCCATCTCGTCGACTGCTGCGTCGGAGAAGAGGCGACGGACGAGGAGAGGGTGGTTGGCGAGCTGTGGGGGGGAAAGGGGAAATGGGGATGGGACACATGGGGGATTGGGCATGGAAAATAGGAACCTGCACAGGGGAAGGGAAAAACGGGGAAGTCGCTGTAGCCCCGTGGCTCCTCCTCCTCCACGCGCTACTGCGTGCACTCCCTCCCCAAACACGCCTCTCTTGTGCAGCATCGCAGCCATCTTGTCCACTGCCGTGTTTTTATGAGAAACAAAAAAAAAAACGAAATTGTAAAAAAACAAAAAAACAAAAAAACAAAACAAAACAAAACAAAACGAGTAATAATAATAAAAAAACGATTTTCATAAAAACCCAAACACGCCCCTCTTGTGCAGCACCCCGGCCATCTTCATCCACTGCTTAGGGTTTAGGATCACACCCAAAAGCAGCCACATCAATAATGAAGGCACACCCACCCTTCCACCACCCAACCCCCCACCACTCAACCACTCCACCAGCTGTACCTCCACCAGTTGCACCACCACCAGTTGTACCTCCACCAGTTATACCTCCACCAGTTGTACCTCCACCAGTTATACCTCCACCAGTTGTACCTCCTCCAGTTGTACCTCCTCCACCAGCTGTATTTCCACTAGCTGTACCTCCACCAGTCATACCTTCCTCAGGTGGGTGAAGATGCTCGCCAGCTGTCTCCTCGGCATCGCATCCACCGCCGCTGCCACAACAGCCGTGCCCCCCTCCCCATCCCCATCCCCCTCTCCCTCGTCTTTCCCCTTCCCCTCTTTATATCCCCCTCCCGCTCTCGCCGCCACTGCCCTTCTGTACTGCTCCACAGCCTCATTGTATGCTGTTGCCTGCTCGCCCTCCATAGGAAGTAGCTCGATCTGTTAATAACGAGGATGAAGATTGAGAGGGGAGGATACAACTTAACATGTTACTGCCCTTCCATCCATCCACTTGGGATTAGCATTGCACGTCCAATCCAATCCACAATCATCCACAATCATCCACACCCATCCACACCCCTCTCACTCTCACCTCCTGCACTTTCGCCACCAGCTGTTTCATCACATCTGCCTTCACCCGCTGCAGCACAAACGGCCCTAGAATTGCCTTCATGCGCCGTATCAGCCCCTCGTCTCATCTGCCCACCTTCCTCGTCTCGTCTGCCCCCTTTCCCACCCCCCGCCTCTCACCTTCTGGACTTTCGCCACCAGCTGTTTCATCACATCACCCTTCACCCTCCGCAGCACAAACGGGCCCAGAATGGCCTTCATGCGCCCTATCAGCCCCTCGCCCGCTCCCCATCCATACCCTTCCCCCCCCCCCCCTTCTCACCTTCTGCACTTTCGCCACCAGCTGTTTCATCACATTTGCTTTCACCCTCCGCAGCACAAATGGCCCCAGGATCGCCTTTATGCGCCCTATCAGCCCCTCATCTGCTGGTCCTCCTCCCTTGTCTCGTCTGCCCCCCTAGAGCCCCATCCCTCACGGTCTCACCTTCTGCACTTTCGCCACCAGCTGTTTCATCACATCTGCTTTCACCCGCCGCGGCACAAACGGCCCCAGAATCGCCTTCATGCGCCCTATCAGCCCCTCATCCGCTGGCCCCCCTTCCCCCTATCAACCCTCACCTCGCCCGCTGCTCCCCTTCCTCACAGCCCCTTGCTGGCTGCTAGCTACACACCCATCCACACACCTACACACCCATTTATAGCTCCCCCTTTTCCCCACCCCGCCTATTTTCTTCTCACCTTCTGCACTTTCGCCACCAGCTGTTTCATCACATCCGCCTTCACTCGCCGCAGCACAAACGGCCCCAGAATGGCCTTCATGCGCCCTATCAGCCCCTCATCCGCTGGCCCCCCTCCCTCTCAACTTGTTGCTGCCTCCTCCATCCATACACACTCCTACACACCCATCCATACCCTCCTTCCCCTCTCCCCATTCTTACCTTCTGGACTTTCGCCACCAGCTGCTTCATAACGTCCGCCTTGACTCTCCTTAGAACAAACGGCCCCAGAATGGCCTTCATGCGCCCTATCAGCCCCTCATCCGCTGCCCCTCCCCCTCCTCCCCCCTTCTGGGACGGCTGGTCCCGCTTGCCCAGGTATTCTGCAATGTCGCACTGGTGGGCGTTGAATATGGCTGGCATGAGAAATTCCAGGAGGGACCAGAGCTCCTGGGAGGTGTAGGGGAAGGGAGAGGGGAGAGTGGGGAGGGGGAGGGTGGGAGTGAGGGAGAGAGTCAGAAACGAGCAAGAAATGAGGGGAAGAAACATTTTCCATCCACCCGTGTCCCTCTCGCCCAGATACTCTGCAATCGAACTGGTGGGCCGTGAATATGGCTGGCATGAGGAACTCGAGCAGCGACCAGAGCTCCTGGGAGGGTGATGGGGGAAGGGCAGGGCAGCAAGGAAAAAGCAAGAGATGAACAACAAGTGAACACGAAGTGAGGATAAATGGGGAAGAAACAGCCATCTCCCTCACAGCCTCCTCCTCCTCTCTTGCCCAGGTACTCTGCAATGTTACTGGTGGGCGGTGAATATGGTGGGCATGAGGAACTCGAGAAGTGACCACAGCTCCCGAGGGGTGAAAGGGAAGGGAGAGGAAAGAGAGGGAGCACGAGCATGACATGGGAGGAAGAAACCACATCCAGAGCCACCCAGGTCATTCTTGCCCAGCTGCCTCAGCTTCATCGCACGCTGGCAGGTGGGCCTCGTGTATCACCACATCGCGAGTCGAATCCAGAGCACACCGTTGTTCAGTGCTTCTCTGCCCGTTCACCTGAAGGTCATTCTGCAGGGGCGCCCCCGTCAACATCAGCCAATAATCCGCCGCCTGTGCCAGCTGGCGCAGCTTCATGGCCCGCTGGCTGCTCCTGTCCTTGAGCAGGTGAGCCTCGTCCATCCATCCGCACATCGTGTGCTCATTCCCATACACAGCACATCATGCAGCCAACCTCACCTGAAGGTCATTCTGCAACGGAGTCCCTGTGAGCATCAACCGGTAATCCGCCGCCTGCGCCAGCTGCCTCAGCTTCATCGCGCGCTGGCTGCTCCGGTCCTTCAGCAGGTGAGCCTCGTCCATCAGAACACACGAGAACCGGAACCTGCGCAGAAACTTCCGGTCGTCCCTCTGGGCGGCGCTGTCCCTCTCAAACAGTGAGTAGCACGTCAGCAACACGTCAAATCCCAGCTTCCCCCCTTCCTCCTCCTCCTCCTCCCCCTCCCCCTCCCCTCCACTTCCCTCTCCCCCTCCTTCTCCCTTCCTCCGCCTCTCCCTCCGCCGCTCCTTCTTCCCCTTCTTCCCTTTCTTCCCCTTCCCACCGTAGAGCTCCCGCAGCGCTGTCCTCTGCCCGCCATGGTACAGCACCACCCTTAGCTGCGGGCACCAGAGCTGGAGCTCGCGCTGCCAGTTGTCAAGGAGGGAGGCTGGGGCTACGACTAAATGGGGTCCAGGGTTGTTGTCCAGGTGACCGAGCAGCCCCAGCAGCACCACCGCCTGGGGGAACGGAGGAGCAGGGTTACGGGGGATGGGGAGGACGGGGAGTGGGGACGAGGGGTCAGGCGGGTGCAGGGGTGCATCCTCAGCTCCCGCAGCGCTCCCCTCTGACCCCATGGTACAGAACCATGCACAGGGGCGGGCACCAGCGCTGAAACTCACGCTGCCAGTTGTCGAGGAGCGAGGCAGTAGCTAACATTTGGACAAGGGATGAGAAGGTTGGGGCACCAACATATGAAATGAGCCTATCAAAAAGGAAAAGCAGCCAAGTCGGTTGATTGAAAAAGCAACCACACAATCAAGCACATTTTGAAGTTGAGGAGCTGTAGGACTGTGAGGTTGCTGCTGGATATGTTCAGCACAGCTCTCTTGGTGATTATGGTGCAGTGTTTAAAAAGTACAAAGGGCAGAGGTTTTTGGAAGCCCAATCAAGCTGGATAAGTTGCGGCTTCCAAAAAACTATGCCTTTGTACTTGTTGAACACCGCCCCATAATCATTAATGTCTGAAGTCTAGGTTTTAGGTTTGAGGTCCAAGGATGACCGTTCACCTGCACAGTCTTGCCGAGGCCCATTTCGTCCGCAAGAATTGCTGCAAACAATCAACACAAACCAAGACACAGAGTCATAGACAATAGGGTTCAATTTCATCATTATTGAACACAACCAGCGAACAAACACAAAACAGGACACAGAGCTCGGAGTCAGAAAACGATTAAAAGGAAATGAAAAGAAAAGACGGAGGAGAGCACCAGAATTTAGAAAACGATATGCGAGATATACATTCCTTACCGCACACCTTCAAAAAACACCACTCACCTTCCCCAACCTTCTGTCGGTACAGCAGCAGCAAAAGTTCACGCCCACCAGCTGAAGGGGTACCAGCAGCAGCAGCAGCAGCAGCAGCAGCAGCAGCAGCAGCAGGAAGTTAATGCCCACTAGTTGGTACCTCTTCAGTTCAGCTACACACTCTTTCAAGCCCACACGTTTCAAACAGCATTCGCGTTCTTCTTACCCCTCAAAAACCACCACTCACCTCCTCCAACCTTCTGTCGGTACAGCAGCAGCAGGAAGTTGACTCCCACCAGCTGATACCCCTTCAGCTGCACGACGCCTCAAGACTCTGATACATTTCTGCCTCCCAACAGCACACTCACTTACCTCCTCCAACCTTCTGTCGGTACAGCAGCAGCAGGAAGTTGACTCCCACCAGCTGATACCTCTTCAGTTGCACGCTCTCCCCACACGCCACAAATACCATTCACATTCCATTTCCACCCCTGTTTGCTCCTCAAAAACCACCACTCACCTCCCCCGACCTTCTGCCGGTACAGCAGCAGCAGGAAGTTAACTCCCACCAGCTGGTACCCCTTCAGCTGCACGCTCTCCCCACACGCCGCCGACACATCATCCTGTGAGATCAGCCTTGCAGCCGACTCATCCGTCTCCGCATACCCGCCCTCCAACCCCCGCTTCCCCTTCTCCCCCAACCCCCCCATCTCCCCTTTTTCCCCCTGCTTCCGCCCAGCAGACAGCAGCAGCTTCTGCTTCAGTGCTGCAGCGATCTGCTCAGACTTCCTTAGAGCTTCCAGTACAGGATCACTCTCCCGCTCCTTTTTCTCTCTGTACTCCCTCCCCCCCTCCCCTCCCTCCTCCTCTTCCTCCTCCTCATCTTCATCCTCCTCCGCCTCCTCCTCCTCCTCCCATTCCTCCAATGACCGTCTGCCTCTCACAGCCGCCCTGCCTGCTGCACGAACACTCCTCCTCGTCACCACTACCTCCTCCTCTTCCCCCTCTCCCCCCTCTCCTCCTCCTCCTCCTCCTCCTCCTCCAACCCCACCACCCTCCCCGCCCTCTCCCCACTCCTCCTCCCCCTCCCACTCCTCGCTCTGGGCATACCTAGCCGGCCTTCTAGCCCGCCCCGACCGCCTCACCCACTCATCCTTCTTCTGCTTCCCTTTCGTGACCCTCCTTCCCCTCCTACCAAACACCTCTTCATCATCCTCATCCTCCTCCTCTTCCAACTCTAAACCCTCCAACTCCTCAATCTCCTCCTCTATCTCCTCGTCTATATCATCCTCAACAATCCAATCATCCTCCTCATCCTCCTCCTCATCCTCGTCCTCCCACCGATCCTTCCCCGATTTCTTCCCTCCCTTCTTCCCCTTCCCCTTCCCCTTCTCCTTCCCCTTCCCCACCCCCCTTCCCCTTTCCCGTCCCCTTCCCCTGCTCCTCAACCACCTCCGGGTCTCTAGCAGAGCGCCAGCCCTTGCTGGGGGCGTGCAGCGCCAGCAGGCGCGCGCGCAGCTCCTCCCGCTCCGCCCTCTGCACGGCCCCGCTGCTGCCGGGGCCCATCTGCGGACCCCCCTGGGTAGGGCCGTCCCGGGGCTGCCTCACTCCAAAGAACCGCCTCGCATTGAAAGTGGCTGCATTGGTGGCAGCAGCACCCCTTCCTGCATCATCCCCTCGTTTTAATGGTGAAACCCTCTTCCCCTCCCCCCACTCCTCCTCCTCCTCCACCTCCTCCTCCTCTTCATAATCCCCATCACTGCCGTCGCTACCCACTAGAACGATCTTTCGCCTCTTCCTCTTCCCCTGCATCCCCCCATCACCCTCTCTTCCCACCTCCATTCCTCCTCCACGGGACGACTCTGTCAACATCTCTGCACGCCCAAAACCCTCTCCCTCTCTTCTCCCCTCTCCTTCCCCAACACTAAACCCCTCTATCTCATCCTCTACCTGATCACTCCTCATCTGATCCACTTCAGGGGCGGCTGCGGTCGCACTACCGGCCAAACCTCCCCGCCCACCTTTCTGCAGCCTGCGAAACCCGTCCCTAGCTACACCGTCCCCATCACCTGCTACCCTGCCGCCCAGGGACCCTCCCCGCACTCCATCCCCGTTACTGGACGCTCCAGTAGCAGCAGTCGTGCACGACGTATCCTCACGATCGCTTAACTCCGCTGCGTTCGCGTTCAGCCGCCTGGGAACACGGAAGGGCCTCAGTACAAGCGGCTGCTGCTGCTGCTGCAGCTGGGACGCTCGGCTAGAGAACGACACAGTGCTGCTGTTACCTGACGGGTTACCAGCACCACCAGTGGCAGCAGCACCAGCAGTACCAGAAGCACCAGCAGCGCCAGCAGCGCCAGCAGTGGCAGTAACGCCTCCCTTCTCCCCTACCTCCCTCCCTTGCGACTGCCGCCCAAGCAGGCGAGACCGTGGCTTGAAGCTCGACAGGCTCTGCAGGCGGCGAGTGTGCGCGAACGAGTCAATGGACGGAAGCGGAGGCGACACTAACGCGGACGAGCCTCCTGGTCCCTTTCTTTTCTCGTCGCCTTCATTCCCCTCCTCACCAGCAGCAGCACCACCAGCAGCAGCACGGTCGGGCTGTAGGACAGGTTTCGTCAGCTGATGAAGCGGCTTGATCTTGAGGGTTCGTCTGGGAATTGCCACAGGCTCTGTGCTGCTACTGCGAGCGCCGCTGCCTGCTTTCCCGTTACTAGCACTCCCGTTAGTAAGCATCCCTTTTACAGATCGCACACGATCTGACGGCATACTGGCGTCTTGACCAACTCTTGGTCCCGCACGGAAATCTTGAGTTGGAGTCCTCCCTTTTTTCACTGGGCTACTATCCGCCACTGAACTTTTCTGCTGCCCGAAAAAACGGCTGCCGACAGCACCCTTACGCGTCTGCTGACGTGGAACTTCGTCCTGCGACAGCTGCTGCGGTTCGTGGCCATCCCGAGGTTCCAGCTCCGCGTGCTCGTTATTGTCAGGTTCGATATAGTCGTCCAGCGGACCCAGAACCCTCGCTCCTTCGATTCGCACGGGCCCACCCTCCGTGTCCAGATCCGGTGAATCTGACGCGCACTGGAACGCGGCGGAAAACGACTCCGCGACGGCCGCCGTTGACGGCGCGAACCCGCCGAGACCTCGATACATGTTGGAATTGATATATCAAATACGTAATGGAATTGCTAAATTAGAATTTTGCAAGAAGAACTCAATAGGGGAACATGCCGTGCAGTCAATAAGTGTGGGCTTCGAATCAAGGTAACCTAACAATGGGACTATCGCAACGGATAGTATGTAGGCTATGGGAAGGGTCTCAGGCGAACTTGAGGAACGCGCGGATTCAAGCGGAACAAGCAGTCCGAAGCTTCGAGTAAGGAATCAGGAGAAGGTTTGAACCTTCAGGCCTTTTGTGATCTTGCGGGGCACATAAGTGACTCAAAGGAATCAGTTCGGCGCACATAAGTGACTCAAAAGTCTCGCAGGGTGAAGCGATTCGGAGAATACTTACTGAAAAACGCTACCCGAGAATCTATCAGTAACTGGCCAACAGTATACACTCGAACCTAAAACGCTACGACGCGCTCGCTCGCACCTAAACTGGCGAATCAGATCACTCGAATTCACACCATCGTGTTTGGCGAGCAGCGGAAATCGCTACTGGTGCACTTGTATGTCGTTGCCTTGTCAAGTTTCAACTAAGCAGCGAACTTTCCAGATTCTACAAAGGCACGGCGGCGAATCAGATCAAACTACACACTACAGCCTGGATTGGATCCAAAGAGAATGCGGTTCCGGCAAGTAGAAGCCGGTGCGAGGAATTTATTCTCGAAAGTTGGTACAATGGCCGCGACCCAGTTCAGCAGCAAGTCCCATTGCCTCACACTCACTGCCTGCGGAAACGGCTTCTACTTTTGCCTGGAGCAAACTGAATGATGACTGAAAGCCCTCCCTGAAGCAAATGATGTTCTTCGCCATTCCTGCATGACCACACCATGAAGCAGACAGAATTCATTTTTGCTATAAAACCCGACCCAACCTGTTGATTTCTAAACCAACCGCTCGGAACCGTATTACGTCTCGTACTTTTTTTGATGAGTTCTCCCAGCCACACAACACGTTGCTGCTAGGCGAACAGGGTTGCCGAAAAGGGTTGGAGAACCTCGAACGAATGGTTGGAAACGGACGGCTACGATGGAGCCCTCGAAATTGGTGCCTTCCCGCCAAAACTTGTATCCTTCGTTAGGGACCTCGTTAGCTGGTTAGCAGCTGAGCTCATGCAAGCAGCTCCCTTGTAAAAGCATTTGCGTTCAGCAGTCGAAGTGTGGTTGAACAAATCAATGTTTGGTTTAGGTGTGTGACGATACGCGCCAAGATGGAGGATAAAATCACGCAGAATCCACTTGGAAGTTGCAAAACATTGCATTGCATGCATTAATCAAATCAGGGATGAATTACAATGAAGGTTGATGCACATCATTGACTCAACTATCTGCAAACAATGCAACCATTTGTTGCACACCATGCCAGTTTCCCAGTAAAGAATCACCATGCCACCCAGGGCCCAAAATTGGTTTTGGCCCACCCTGTCAAATCAGAGTTCCAGGGTGGGCCAACCCTGACTCCTAATCTCGTACCCTGATGGAAACAGGGTAAAAAAAAAAACTTAACCTGATTACGTACCTTGTCATATATAAAGCAACGAACTCATTCAGTTCAAGTTGAAGTGTTTCACAGGGTTAGTGGTGGAGCCGCGATTGGGAAGGTTGGGGGTTCGAATAAATTGCACTAAGCTCAACCGGCGATTTAGTGCAATTTATTCGGCGATTTTTCGCACAACATCCACCGTATCCTCGCTACGAAAGTCTCGGTATCAGTGTAACAGTTTCGAAACACTCATGAAAGTCAGGGGAAACAATCTATAACTCGGATTTCATAAGGGTACAAAAAATCAGACTCTTTATGAGTCAGGGTAAGAAATCCGGGAGCCTGACTGGGTCAGGGTAACCCCAAAAAAAGCGGCCGCCAGTCAGGGCAATCAGGGTATTTTACCCTGACATTTTGGGGCCTGATGCCACCTTCCTCCAATTCCTACCACACGCACCTCACAATCTCCTCTCCCCGTATTTCAATCGACAAGCCAATCCAGAACCTCCATAGCTGCTTGCCAACATAATCCCCAACCATCTCAGCGCACCTCTTCCTCTGCCCCATCCTCCTGCGCCTTTCGAGCTCGCTCCAGCAAAATTCTCGCAATCCTCTGCCGCTTCTCCTCATCAGCAGTCGGCTCCACCACTCGGCTTGGCCCCCTCGGCCCTCCTCTGCTGCCACCCCCCATGCTGCTCCACCAGCTGCTATTGCTTCTCCTGACACCACTGCCACCACTATCAGCACTGCCATCACCACCACTCTGTCTTTGGCTTCCCTCCTCCTCATTCTCAGCCGTTCTACTGCTGCTTGTTAGGGCGTGACTGACTGCTTGCCCGACTGGTCCCCTGCCAAATCCAAGCCCATCCAATATTCCACTTCTGCTTCCACTCCCACCATCACCATTGCTTCTGCTGCTCCTGCTGTCTCTGCGGCTACTGCTTTCCCTGTCCTCATGCTCTTCATCCCCCCTACTGCTATTCTCTCCATCCTTCTGACTAGGATAGTGATAAAATCGGTTGAAATTATCCATCTTACTCATTATAAGCACAGCTGGGAACAGGAGGCAGCCCAGGGCCAGCCCAATGCCGCAAATCAACGCAGGCAATCGCCTGCTGCCAGGTGTCGCGACCGGATTCGACGAGGTGAAGGAGGAGGAGAACGGCCCGTGGCGGAAATTGCGGTGCGAGCGTGCGTGAGGGTAGTGGGAGTGAGTGTGGTGGTGTGGGGGAGTGTGGAGGAGGTAGTTGTAGGCTTCTGTGATTCGCCGAAAGGCGTCTGCATCACCCGTAGTGTTCACATCTGGATGGCTAAGGTGGTGGAAGGGGAGATGGACGGGAGAACCCAAAGAATGATTGCTTTTGGCTTATAGCGATCACATCAGCCGTGCAAGGTCATTCTGATTCATAAACATGCATGAGGAAACAAACATGTAAATGTTCAATGCACAAGGGATTTCTGATGCAGAAGGTACGTTATGTGCCACAGGTGCTGGGTTACACCCCATCCCACTCTCTCCTCCCCTCCACCTCCTCCTCACCCTCCCCCTTCCCTTTACCTCCCCTCCCCCCCTGAAACCCAGTTTCCGAAGTTGTGTAAGGTGGTGGTGCATCTAATTTTATTATTTATTTCTTTCGTTCTTCTGTTGCTCACCCAACCTTCCTGCTTTTCTTACACTCAGAGCTTCTCTCGCAGTTTGAGAGGCGTCGTCTTACAGTTTGAGCGCCAGGCGGCGGTAGGCGGCCTTCACTTGCGCCAGCGACGCGTCGTGCGACACTCCCAGCAGAGCGTACGCGTCGCCGTGCGACCGTCGCACCATGATGGCCTGATCGCCTGCGACGTTGAGTGTCGCTTGCGACGTTAGTAGGCGGTCTGCGACGCTGGAAGGCGGTCTGCGACGCTGGAAGGCGGTCTGCGACGTTAGAAGGCGGTCTGCGACGTCGTCAGATGCGTTGTGGGATTACAGTAGGAGCTACGATCCGCTAGCGTGAAAGAAAAGCTACCCAAGGCCGTAGTTGAGAGGGAATCGCGGCAAGCTGGCGAGGCCAATGGGATCAGAGCTACCTACGATGACGTGGAAGTTGGCGAGGGCGGTTACCGTAGTAGGCAAAATCTGCCATCGTGCAGCGAAGCTAGCTACGGTGGCGAGCTTCGCGCAGCGAACTTAATCGAACTTCATAGAAGAGCGTTTCGGTCTCTTCGAGCGGGAACATCGTCACGCCACTCTTTTTACATCCCTTGATATTAATACTCGTTATAGCCTGACCAACACGTGCATCTATGCACAACCACCGCAATGACGAGGAGAGAGGCAGGGTAGGTATCCTAAAATTCCCCAGAAAATCATATCTGTATAGGAGGCTCTAGGTCCACTACAGGCTGCTCGTAGTATCAGGAAGCCGCACTGACCTGAATGCAGCACAAAGTAGGTACTGTGCAGCCTTCGTGGACATGGCGCCTGACACGTTACCGCGGACGGAAGGTTCTGGCGATGCTTCGGGGAGGTAAGGGGTGGGCGGGGCGGCGAGTCGTGGAGAACTGAGGCATCGAGTCTATCCATTGTTGCTATCGGACTATAAGAAATGAAATAAATTTCTATGACTACGATGGTTAGCGCAAGAGCATGTAAGCCGTACAAGCGATTACCATTTCTGCGATCTAGCTTCTATTCGCGCATCCATCGTCCTCCGCGTGATGTCCCATTTCGCGAAGAATTCGCCATCGTCGGCATCATCCCGCAGCTCCCCCAGATGCCTCCGTCGGGCAGCGAGCCAAAACTTCACGGGCAGGCCAATAAGTGTGGTGAGAAGCAACGAGTGTACGTACAATTTCACTGTACTTATGATATGTATGAGCTTTATGTGCTTTCATCATAATCTGCCCTTCAAGCAATGCTCGGGTCTGCATTTATCTGAACAAAGCCAGTTTGTTACAAAAGCGAGGTCTATCGCCAAGCGTATCCTAGTGGCGTCAGCAAGAGGATCTGGATGTGGACGCCTTTGTCCTGTCGCGTCCCCCGCTTCGTAATTCAAATGTTTTGCTTGCGGGTCGCGCTAATGGCACCCGCTCTATATAGTAACTCCAGCGAGGCGCGCATTTCCCGCCAAATGTATTCCCACGTAAAGCATTCCACCTTCTAACCAAGAAGTGTGTGCGGGGGAGGCGTGTATCTGGTGCTGGTGCTTGCCCACATGATTGGACTTTCGGCCCCAATCGCATCGGGTTATTGCTGACTCACAGTGAGCGCTCCGCTCCATTCATACCTACCGTTGGTTTGAACGATGGCCACATAACAGCGCGCATCTCAGCCCTCCGTATCTTTGATGATGACCGGGCACCGCGCTTCGGTATGATTGGTTCGCATTACAGGATCCAGCGCCATATAGCAGCATTTGATTGGAGGGGACCTGCTTAGCTGCGTTTCAGTCGTCTTGTGATCTGCAATCAAAGCAACTAATGTGATAGCTCCAGTTCACTTCAGCAACAGTTTTCGAGAGCTTTAG